TTTGTTAAAAATTGCTTGAGTATGTGAAATACAACTGGTAATTTTTACTATTATCCTGTAAATCATCGGAGGAAATATTTTTGTAAGATCAGATAAGCTTAGAGACAGTGACATTTTTAACCATTTGGAGCCTTTTTATATTATATAAACAATGTCACAAAACACGTAAGTGCATTTCACTTTTCCAGCGTAGTTTCCAGGAGTTTGATCTTTGCACTCCAGGGGAGAGTGCAAATTCATTGTGTTGCTTTTTAAACAGCCCACGGGGCCCTGAGCTAGGCATCACCTAACGTTCTGTTCTGTGTCTTTTCTTGTGTAGGCACCTTAACAATGAGCATGCGTTGGATGACCGAAGCACAGCCCAGTGTCGAGTGCAAATGCAAGTGGTGCAACAGTTAGAAATACAGGTCTGTCAGATCTCACTTAGCGGCCCACTTTTTCGGGTTTCTAGGATGTTAAATTGAGTACCGAAGAAATTCAGGGTTCTTTAGGCCACAACTTAATGGCTCAGTAGCTTGAAAAGTAGTTAAGATACATGGAATTCTGCATTATTTTTAACAATGGCAATAACTCAGGATAGATCGCTTTAGTTTACGTACCACTTAGACCTCTATAACTGAGATAATTTTGATCCCACCCCTCACAGGATTCTACATTATAGAAAAAGCCCAATTTTCACAATATCATACCTTTAATACTTTGAAAAAGAACTTCTTTTCTGTTTCTAGTATATTTATAATTTACAATTTTACAAAAAAAAACTTTCTTGCTTATTTTTAACTAGGATAATGGCTTCTATCTTAAATAGTAGATGGAAATATATGTTATATCAATGCTGCCTTTTTTAAGTCTTACAATTTTTTTGTTAATAATTTCAAGATTTTGCCAAAATAAATAGAATTTGTAAAATTGATCAGAAAGTACTTGTCCCCCAAAGTCTCATTTTTTGCTGTTACTAAAGCTTCAAGGTTCTCTAATGTTTAATCCTAAAGATTATTTTCTCAATAAAACTAAAACTTTGTGTTTCAGTTAAATATACATCTTCACTATTTATTCACACTTTAGCAGGTCTTATATAGTTTAAAATTCATCGTGTCGCTTTTTTTCTTCCAGAGAAGAACTAAATATATTTTATTTAGAGTTGTAAAATACCCAAGGACACATAAAAAGCATCATCACTGTTGTAAGCCTTTTGTAAAAGACAGATTAAAAGATAGCAGTGCCAGCGCTGATGCTCTGTATAGTATGGCCAGTCGTCCCCCTCTCTTGTCTGCTTCTGTCTGTCTCTCTGTCTCTGCCTCCTCTCTCTCTCTCTCTCTCTCTCTCTCTCTCTCTCTCTTGTTCTTGCGCTCTCTTCTCTCTGTGCTGTGTCTGACTGATGGAAAAGTAAGGTCCGTCAGTTGTAATGAGACCCAGTGCAAGTGTAGATGCTGACTCCGTGGCAGAGTTCAACGTTTCACACTGCCTGGTCCCTGTCACTCTACTGAATTAGATTGATGATGGCAGATTGCAGGGGGCACTAACTGGACCTCAGTGGGAATGCACGAAGTGTGTAGACAATCCTGGCAGGCCCTTCGCTTTGAGAACCCTTCACCCCTTCACAGCTGTTGGCACCAGTCCATTGCTAACAGTGTCCACGGGACTTTAAAGAGACACCGTAGGCCTTCTAATTTATGGTTTCAGTAACTTGTTACTGTCGAGGCAACTGTGACCTCAATTCTCTTATTGACAAAAAGATGAAGTGTTATTTGTTTTCTCTGACCTTTTAACATAAGGAAAGCTATAAAAGTTTTTCCCCCCTACATAGCTAAAGTTGCATTTCCTCCCAGATAAGTTCCTAGTGACACAGACTTTTATATGCAGGAATCATTACTCTGAGACAGGCTCAATGATAAGATGGATCACTGCAATAAAATAGCTGTATCAGTCATTTCTAAAATGCTTCTGATCTCACTCTTTCTTAACAGCTTTCTAAAGAACGTGAACGTCTTCAAGCAATGATGACCCACTTGCACATGCGACCCTCCGAGCCCAAGCCATCTCCCAAACCTGTAAGTGCATATTGCTTTATAAACAGTAAATAGCTCTACCAATGTAACAGACTAAGAAAATGAACAATTTAGTGACAGTTAGAAAACAGTGAGTGTGATAAAAAATATGGCAATAAAATGAAAGTAAAATGCAATCGCTTGTCAAATTGTATGTTTCTTTTAAAGTAATGCTATCTTTCACAAAATCTATCCAATCTACACTGTGGGTGACACTAAACAAAGTATACCTATCAGTGCACAAATCACTGCCTTGAGGCTGAAGCCAGAGAGAATATCTTCCTGTGATAGGTTTACAGATATTAAAAGGAAACCCACTTTGAGCCACCTAAAAAGTAGTAACAGTACCAATCATAAATAGAAAGGTATGTGGTGTACAGAAGAAGACTTACATCAATCATAAGACATGTATAAATAGATCTTTTATCAAATATTTTGTCAAAGGTGTCAGTATTTTTATAGCCCATTTTGTTCTGTTTCTTTGGTTGTTATTTCAGTTAAGATGTATTTCACATATAGATATATTTTACCATATATTATATGGAATGTTAATTTAGAGAGCTTATCACAAAGGGGAAATGGGCGATTATGGAAAATAAAAGCTGCAGTTTCTCTCAAAAATATCTGCAATTTAAGCTCAACCTGAGAGGATAGTCAGATGCACAGACTGTGAAAAAGAATATACATAGTTTGTTATCTCACACAGATGATGTTTACACAGAAATTTAACAGTTATCAATTGGGCAACTCTAGTTTAATGAAAGTTTGTGGGATACTTTTTAATAACGCCCCCGTATAGCCTGATGATTCGTGATTGCCAGCCACATCTCTCCTCCATTTCTTTGGGCATGAAAAGAACATTTGGCTTTGCAGTGGGGGAGGTCATGGAAGACAGAGCATATTATCTGATTTTCTTCTAGTGTCTCATTATCTCTGGCCGATTAGTATCATTTGAAGTTTACATTTTGCATTGAGCCTATCATTTATTTAAAATCCAATAAGGTATTTCAACAAAGATATCAGAGATTTTCCTCTATACTGTTTTTTAGTGTAGAGTACTGTAAACATATTTTTATAAGAAAGAGACATGAATCTTTTTTAATTTAACGTGTAACTTTTTAAATTCTAGAATGTCTGCATTTTTAATAAAAAAAAAAAAACTTTGCAGAATCTTTTTGATCCAGTATTTAGGACTCTCTTTTCAATAAGATCTTTTTCTCTCATTGCTTCTATAGTATAATGTAGATAATCACAAGACAGAATAATTGTCTCATAAATCCATCAGGAATCTGCAGCTTGTTCTTTCCAATTAATTATTCAATCAGTAAATTTTTTAAAACTCCAGCAGCATGGTTACATCTACACTAATAAAGAATTTTCAGCCTATAATCCAAAACAGAACCTGAATGAATAATGTAATTGAAGTATTACATTACATAAACCACACATGAAAGAATTGCTAATTGCGTTTGATGGTGGGCAATTAATACAGAATCTTAGATGAGCGATTTGAAATGAAACCACAGTTTAAAGTTCCCTTTGGAACTAGCAATATCTGAAGTGGGAAACTGCACTGCTGGCCTCAAATTGGTTCAAAAGAAGAGTGGTCAATACTCACACCCCTCAAAAAACCCTAAAATTTATACACTGTACAAAAGAAGCTTCAAAATTGATATGATAGTAGAGATTTATGGTCTCATGTGCAGTGGCTCAGTTGAGACGGCCCACACATTTGATAAATATTAATAGCATGAATTTATTACCAAGGAAAAATGAGCTCTGTTGGTTCATCACTGCACCTTAACAGCTATCAGTACATGAACACAAGGTGCAACCGCACTGTCTATTATATGACCCCATTTACTCTCTGAATGGTACTTCATTAAATGGTACCTTTTGGCCATGCTATGGATGGATGAAAATCAAAGTTATCAAGGCTGCGAGTCCTGAATAATGAGTTTCACCCAACCTTGACTATATTCAGATGAGCAGAGGTAGCTAAGTGCTCATCCTGGCTTTTACATGCTTTCCTTTAGTTAATAAGAAATTCTGTTTTATCAGTTTGTGATTGCACGCCTACAAACATGGCACGCTTATTATGACAGGATACAGAATGAGTTACCGGAACGTTGTAAACATGAGTAGTTAGCACAGAAAAAGATGTACTTCTCCTATTTTGATAACTTTTAATGTGTTTGCAAAATGTAGAGTCCTGTCCAGTATTCATCAGGATAGGTATTTCATTGGCCTGCAATTTACTGTTTTTCTTGGCTTCTGAATGTCACATTTTATTCTGGTTAATAATTCTAAATGCGAAAGCATAACCATCCAGCTCAGTTTTGATTTTGTTTTCATGCATAGAGAAGACTTTTTGAGTGTTTTTTTTTTCCTACTTTCATATTTTTAACAGATGTGTAACTATCATGATATGGTCTAAATGTAACATTGTTATATGTTCTGGTTTTTATTTTAAAATATCACAAGAAACATCACACCCAGATGTATACAAATCTTTCTGCATTGCTCAGACTGTGCAGAGGTACGCTGGCACATCCTAGGGAAGTTTACACCAGTGGCTTTGTAAATGTATTAAATGCAGCATTTAGTAGCATTATCTCAGCTTTTATTTATGTACGTAACAAAGAATTCCCAGCCCAGTCTGCTGGCTTAGAGTACGCACAGAATAACAGTTTGTGGTTTATTGGGAACAGATGCACTTGGGGATGCCTTCAGGGTGCCAGTCGTTATTATTAGACTGCTAATGTGCTTCTTCTGGCTGCTGCCCAAGAAAGAAGAACAATTAGCTGGCATATGTTAATTTTTGTTTCCCTAACAAATCTCTCTACTGACTAAATGTGTAAAACAAATCCACAAAGAAAGATCAATCAATGCTGTACACATCATTTTCTCCCCATTAAAAAAAAGGTTTATCTTAAGAAGTGTATTTGGGATTTTAAAAGGCAGGTGTTACTAACTTATATAGAAAAGCTGAATATTCTCTATGTAGCCACTCAGCAGTTACTATATGGAGAAGCAGAACAGTTATCATTAGTTTTCCTGCTTGGTTGTGTAGATTACTGTATGAAATGAAAAGGACCCAAGATTACTACCTATAATTCCATTCAAATATATGGGAGAAATCTTATGTGCTGCCCTGCGTAAAAATTTTGCTAATTGGATGCTATTTATGACAAAAGATGTGTGGTAAATATGACAGAGGTGATATGAGTTTTTTGATAATGAAGAACAGGGCCTTTCTGAGGGGAGTAATGAAGGGCACACTGTTAAACAGCTTGCACATTCTCACCTTTTTCCTTTTTTCTACCTGACACCCACTTTCCAGGGTACATCAGCATTAAGTGACACTGTAATCATAAATTGAAAATGATACTTCCAGAGGAATTGGCAAACTTGACATTTCATTATATTTGTTAACACATGCCACAAATGATTGTTAGTGAGGAAATTCCATTTCCCTCTCTCCATCTCCAATCAGATTTAATTTGAAAAATTTCAGCCTCCTCCGGCTAATTTGCAATTAAGACAATTTTGTTTGAATATGTAGTAATGTCATTACCATTCCACCAAATTAGCAAGGAGACTAAAGGTCAGTGTAAAATTTTCCAGCTGGCTGGAGCCTCTCAGCTGAGATTTGGGACTCTGGAAAAAAATTCTGGCAGCAACAGAATAGCAACTTACTTTAAGTCCTATTGGTTAAAATCCTTGCATTCTCCATCATTGCTGTTGTTGTTGCTTCACTAAGGGCTAGACCTGTTTAACAACAGGGGCAGTCAATAATCAGCAACTGGCTTTTATTTAAGGAAATACACTTTCGCTGAAGTCTGGTAGGACAAGAAGGAGTTAGTCCTAAGTAACATTGCAGTAGATTATTAGATAACCTCTAACAGCATCCTCTAATTAGAGTTCTTATGATACAATTTCATCCTGTAATTAGTTGAGATTGGCTGCTTCCTTTTGCAGCTTATTAGTGGCAACACAGCTGTAGAAGTGAAACCACTCTCATTTGTCAAACCTTTTTAAGTCTTTTTCTCTTGTCTCTACCTTTTTCCTGCCCTTCTCTTGGGCTTTGCAGCTAAATCTGGTGTCTAGTGTCACCATGTCGAAGAACATGTTGGAGACATCCCCACAGAGCTTACCTCAAACCCCTACCACACCAACGGCCCCAGTCACCCCGATTACCCAGGGACCCTCAGTAATCACCCCAGCCAGTGTGCCCAATGTGGGAGCCATACGAAGGCGACATTCAGACAAATACAACATTCCCATGTCATCAGGTAGGATATGAATGCTCAGTAGAGCTCTTTTACTTTGGGAGAGGACAACTTTAGGTGGAACAAATGTACCTGAGACATTCCAGAGCCCATGGAAACTCAAGTCATGATTTATGGAGTGATAATTGTTTTATTCCTGGTAAATGCAGATAGAGGCAATTCCCTAAGCACATCATGATGAATTGTTCTGAATGGTTGTTCAGGAAAGAAAGCTCTCCCCATTAGGGACACTGAGAGATGTCTTGTCAGGATAGCCCATGTTATCACCTCAATTCAGTGAGATCCTTTGATCTCTGAGGGAAGACAAGAGTAATCCAACATCTGTGAGCGAAGCTATAGGAGAAGAGCCATTTAAAACGGACAAATATGAAGCACCATTGCTTTATGCAAGACACTTGGAGCTTTACACGAGTCAGTGCTTATCAAGGTGCTGCCTAAATGAAACGCTACTGCAGCTCCTAAAACCTGTGTGAGGCTTTGCTCAGGAAGCATCCTGAGAGGCAAAGTTCTGTACAACAAAAACTCACATCCTCTCCCTCTCCTCCCCTCGCCCCTCTCCCTCACCTCTATCTCCCACTCCCCCCAGGGGCATCTGGTTAATCACAGTGGCACGTCCTGACCATTATGATCCCAGAGCCCTCTTTTTACAAAAAGTGAAGTTATTTGCAACATGGGCACTTGTGAGGGGCTTGTGTTTCCTTTGTCAGATGGCCACAGATGCCGAGGGATGATCCTGTTATACATTAAGAAGTATTAGAGGACAAAAGCAAAGATTATGGCAGGGGGGCAAAAGTCCATGTACGAACATGCCTAAACCACCCGCTTAAAAGAGGACCTGGCTGCTGAAAAACCCTCAGGCCAGCTGGTCACACTGCTCCCGGAGTATGAGGACAACCAGGGGACGCTTCATTTGCACTTCGCGTCAGAAATGGCCTTTTCCATGTAATTCAATTCCACTGCCATGCTTTGTGCTTTCACTAGTCAGTGGCTTTCTTGCCGAATCACTTTACCAATACTAGGGGAAAATATGAGAAATCAATTATAGGTAATCCAAGTTATTAGCAGAATTAACACCCAGTTTTTGTTTTTATAGAGATTGCCCCAAACTACGAATTTTATAAAAATGCAGATGTCAGACCTCCATTTACTTATGCAACTCT